ATATAAAAGTAAACATTACGCAATTTATATACTTACTATTTTGGTTGTAGAAATCGACTACCGGTTGGCATTGATATTTGTTTAAAATTCGACATCAGTGGGCATTTTTAAATTCGTTATTAATGTCAGATATGTTTTCAGTCATAATTTTACCGAAATAAACCTTAATTTCCTATGTATATAAAATATACACATTTGTTAATTACACGCTCTGGTTTTGTTTACATCTAAAAGTACGTGGTAGAACTAATTTCAATCCGTATTATGTCCGAAGTTATTATGTATAATAGCCGAGGATGTTCCGATTGAAAATTCCTATCTCTGGTACAATCACACACTTGATGGTGTGCGTACCAATAAAATATTTTTATAGCTGTAGTGTGTTTCAGACGGCTGATCTCAATTGAAAAGTTATACAAGTTTACAGAGTCCCTAAAGTGACATTTTAAACAGTTTATAATGTTGTCTAAAATTTATATTAAAAGAGTTCATACATTTTTGACATGGCGGGACTGGAAATATTATTTTGAGATTATTACTCTATAATTATTTTGATGTAGATTTATACTTATAACTTATGTGCAAAATTTCAGATCATTATCTCGCTCCGTTTTTTTCCATAATAATTATTATAAAAGTGGAAAATGACCCAAAATTGGAAAGTGTTTAAACGCTTTTCACTCAAATCGGAAAGAGAATCGCACAAACACACGATTTTCAATGTATTCTTTCTTATATTTTATTTTTATTTCTGTTTTAAGTGCTCGTGTTGATCTATGCGAAAAAATAAAAAAAAAATATGTTTTAGGCTTATTAACCTCAGTGGAGTTCCTTTAACATCGAAATTAAACTTCGTTCCCCTCTTTCTGTTTGACTCCCCTTTTTTAAAAAAAAGTTACATGTACTTAAAAATATAATTTATGAACCTTACAATCGTTATCTTAAACGCAAACTGCCGGCAACGTTAATGTCCTGTTTCCTTATGTCGTTTTTTCACTTCTTTCTACTATAATAGAACATTTATAATACAATTTGCTTTTTTAATCATCTACATTATTATTTAATTTAATAAAATAACACGCTACATACATATTACAAAATGATGTTCTAAATACTACAGGATTGTGTAGACATGTGAAAGTATGTATATATGACATTTTTTAAAGCAAGATTTATGTTATTTTTTTTGTTGAAAAAAAAAAAGAGACCAAAGTATGCATCATAAATAGCCCTTACTTCGTTAGAAACGCAGTAGAAATCGCACAAAACATGGGAATTATTACTTTTATCTTATATGTCTCTTTACTTTTCTTAAAAGCTCAGTGCCTTTTTCTAAAGTTTGATTTTTGAAAAAAAATATTTTGATTCACCTGGAGGCATGCAGCTTTATATAAGCTATTGGAACGTGTTAAAAAGTGATATATAATACACCCCCTCAACTGTCCCCGTGTAATAGAAATCAATAAAATTTTGAATATACTTACAACACTTAATTGTCTTTCACCAAGGATTGCTGTTTCCAATAAAGAAGGATTACCAACTTATGACAAATTAAAGGGGAAAAAAATTAAGGTCAGTTCTGGGTCAAGGTCACGATTATTTAATCTTCCTTATTTTGTAGTGTATATATAAGTATGGAGAAAATGAAGACCACCCATTTATAAATACCAAAATTACAATTATATATAACAATAAATCAAGCAAAACTTAAACATTTGAACTTCAAGGTAAAGGTCACATGTCATTTATGAGTGAAGGACACGGCCCATGTTGAAAGTCTTCTTTGCATGATTGCCGTGCTTTAGTTTGATGACCATCCAGTCATAAGTATTTATCAACTTAGCGTTTGTACTTTTTTGTGTAATGACATGCTCCAGATCTCAAAGAAGGGAGGAATGACTGACCGGATGTGGGAGTTAACTAGTTTTACCCATAATCCACTTAGTGTGGATTACCTGCCCCTGTTACTACGTCAATAATCACAGGGAACCAGACTAAAATCCCAATGTTGAAGCCGGTAAAAAACTAGCAATAAACTGTATCATGCCTACGGTGTAGAGGGTGTTCAGATTTCTTTCAACATTACTATTACCCTGTAAACATGATAATTAACCTCTCGTTATGTAATCAATGAATGGAAATAGGATCATTTTGGCACTACCCATCCGTTCCCTCCCTTGATTTCGAGCTGCATGGACGTGTTTACAGATATATTTAAATAAATTTGAATTAGACTGCAATTTCTCAACACTGAAAAATGTAAGTAGATCTAGAGTGTTTTACTTTAATCTTTAAAATAAACGCTTCTAATATATAATCTCACTCAAGCAAAAACTCTCATTAATAGTTATTATTCAAACATATGGGCTCGAGACATTCAAAACATTCAAAACTTACCAAAATTAAGAACATACAGACTGTTCAAAAGGGAATTTAAAACTGAGGAATATTTATTATTAAACTTAAAGAAAAATGAAAGGTCATTATTAGCTCAATTCAGGACTGGCATTTTACCTTTACGGATAGAGACAGGTCGATATGTCGGCGAATCTGTAGAAGATAGACACTGTACACTGTGTAATTCCGGAGCCATAGAAACAGAGACACATTTCTTACTAGAATGCTGTTTATATTCAAATGTTAGAAATACTGTATTTGACAACTTATTAACAGACATTTCATTTGTAAACCTAGTGACCGAACACAAACTCGAACACTTAATGACAAAATATCCTCGTAAAATGTCTAAATATATTGTTGCTGCCTTTATGTGTAGGCGAAAACGAATTTATTCATAACAAAACAAAAAACTGTGATATCCAAAAATAATGACAATGATAATAAAAAGTTCCATATAGAACGTTAAACGTTTGAGGCCCTTGAAATATTGTTTGTAAGCATTAACCAGAATCAGGTTACACTTTATATTTGTTTATACCATGATTTATACATTCTATGTTTTATGTGATGCATTATGAAATCATTACATTGGTGACTTATAGGCCCATTGGGCCGGGTGCTATAATTGTACACATATACGATTGTTATTTGTATTTGACTATGCACATGTCACAATAATAAATAATTTACTTACTTACTTACTTATATATATGTATTTAAACCTGCACATAATTAGTGCTTTAAAACCTGTTATACTATCCACGTGACCAGGTCATGTGATTAATACAAAATGGCGGATTGGTAATGGAAAATACTTTGATGTTTTCAGGTAAACAAGCCAAAATGAATTTGATTTTTGTAATGAAATTAAAACCATTTAATTATATCAGTGTTAATCAGCTTAAAATATGATATGTGCATAATTTTACATCTAAATTTATTGTGATAACTGCAAAAAATCTTTGATAAGTTGCAAGGTAGTACAAACTGACAAAGCACTGTTAAGCTCATACAATCTGCTCTGAGTAATAAATAGGTAATTTATATTAATATGTTTGGTAGTGGTATACGAAACTTTGTGTAAATTTAATTTAAAGTGTAACTTCGCATTAAACACAAATTACTTTACCCGACTGCAAAATTGTTTTTATTTCATTTCAGACAGCAAATTTATGTCTAATTGGAGGAGATAGTGTGGAGAGCAATGTTCGCCGTGTTATGTCTCACACTTTGTCTCAGGAAGTTGCCCTAGAATACAACTGGGTTGGAAAAGGCTCGAAAAAACCATTCGAAAAACTTAGACTTAAAACAGTCATATTAGGTTTGTATTTTTACTTTTTCAAAGTTGATTTCACCGGTGCTAAAAATTTATTTTACACCGTGGGTGTAAGATATGACTCTTGTGTTGTAAATGATCATCATGACTCTGTTTGCATTTTGACAGAATTATGCCTCTTTTTAACTTGAAAATTTTAGGTTAAAATTTTTAATTATGTCAAATATCTCTGTTACTATTAAATCTATTGACTTGTAATTTAAAATATTTCTTTACTATCAAAGTCTTATCCCTTAGCTCTGTTTGCAGTTTTTCAGTTTTATTTGCCTTTAAACTAGTAAATTCTAATTAGTAGTGTATATTTAAATAAAATCAGTAAACTGTATAAATTTCAGATGCTGTAAGAGGAAGTAGACAGGGGTCTACTCATAATGAAATCGAGAAGACAATGAAGGAGTGGCTAAGATATGCCAAGGATAGGGGAGGCGGGCGGAGGAAGAGACTGACTAAAAAGTTGCAACAACAAAGAGAAGAAAATGAAAATGATATGTGAACAACATTTAGAAATAAATTGTAGTAATTAGAATATTTTATGTTCTTTTATTTTACGGTCTCTCTGAATTCTAGGAGACATGCTGTTTTTGGTCTTGTCATCTGAGGGCCAGCGTTAGTAGTAAGAAACAAGTAATTGGGCCAATGGAGGGCCAACAATAAGAGTAGGAAACAAAGTGATAGGCCAACTGAGAGCCAACTTAGATAGTTGAAAATAAGGCATTGGGCCAACGAAGGGCCAATGTTTATTATAGGAAACCAGTCAGTGGGCCAACGGGGGGCCAACAATAAGAAGGGAAATCTGCTGTTGGGCCAACGATAGGAAGGAAAACCAGTCATTGGGCCAATGGAGGGCCAACGATAAGAGTAGGAAAGCAGTCGTTGGGCCAACCATATACCAACCGTTGGCCCACCGTTGCCCCAATTAGCAAATTGACATTGGGCCAACGTTGGCATTATGTGTTGGGCCAACAAAGCAAATGTAATTGGCCCAACGTTGGGCCAACTACTGTCTGCTATCTGGGTAGGTATTAAAGAAAATAGTGCTGCTCACATCCTATTTCTCTATAGTTACAAAGCATATATATTTTATTTCTTGGCGTGGTATCCAAAGACCGGTGCGCTGTTTCTATAAGAAGGCATTTATTACAAGTTCTAAATTTGAAAAGTTTTATTGATGGCGTGGTATCAACAGTCCGGTGGCGCTGTTTCTATTTGGAGGCAGTTCTAAAATAAAAGTTTGGAAAGTGATAACAGAAAGAAAACAAATTGTAAACCAATTATTTACTTTATTTACAGATATAAATATGTTCAAGACAATGGTATATTATAAAGTATCTTTTACGTATTCCCAGAAAGTATGTATTGAAACACAAAGAAAAGAAATATACCCATTGTTTGATCTGACAATTACACTGTTTTCTGAACATAAGTACATACATAAACTGGTATGCCAGTACGTGAAGTTTATCCTGGTAGAAGAGATCGAAGAATTGTACAGTAAAAGTATCAACTTCAATATATCTATATAAAAATTCTGCTAAGTAAGTTATTTTGTAACTATTTTTTTCTACAATTCTAAAATTTATTTAAAATCTAAAAATAAACATTAATACACGATATAAAAGCCATAAGTGTTTGAAATTATATTTGTCCAATAGGATTGCAGTATTTCAAATTAATCGTAACACATTGACTTAATAAATCGGATATTAAAAAGTGTAGTAATAAATGGACTGCTTGTAAAAAAAAATTTCAAACACTAAATTTCCGCTGTTATTGCCCGAATTATAATTTGATATTGCTTACTTATGAGTACTAACGTATATATAAAAATATAAAAAAGAACATTTATTTATATTATTTAGTGACTGAAACTTTTTTAGCCCAGTGAGATTGGAGTACATGTGTATTTACATTTACTTTGATAGATCGGCTGATCATTTATCGATCTTGTAATTGACGAACATTATACTCATTTCGCTGTCAATGACAAGATGTGTTGCTGAATTGATTTAGCAATATATATTTAAAAAGATTGGCTATTACTAGTATTACTAGTAATGGTTACTGGCCAATAAATGAAGAAGAAATTAAGAAAAGAAAAAAATACATTTATAATGCAGTATAAAAGCTACCTAAATCATAAGAAGATTGTCCCCTTTCTTTTAAAGAATACATTCTGCGTGTTATTTATAGGAATTTCCATCTGTCCAGCGGATTATTGATAGAAAAAATTTAAATTGAACACAATGATGGCAAAATGTCAAGTTACTTTTGTTATCTGTTCACTGACCAAGAATGGGTATATTGTCACTCAATTTGAATAATGTTCGTTAGTTTGCATTTATCAAAATATGCCGATCTTGTACAATATGATTTTGTAAAATGCTTACAAAGAAACACTAACCTATACATGTACATAATGAATAAGAAACCACATTAATCATATTACTATACTAACGTGACATATGAACAAAAGTTGACTAGATAAAACAGGCCTTTGTAACAAGGCAAAACACTATATATGTAAATTTAAACTAAATAAAGCTCTTAATTCGTACATATTCGTACTTATATACAACATTTTTTTCTTCTAAGAATTTTAAGAGAAAAATCTACATTGCCTTATAACCGAAATTAAATGCTGGTGTACACTAGACAAAGATAATAGAAATATCTTTTACATATACAAGTCATTAAGGCATCGTATCTACAATGGTGTACACACATAGATATATATATTTTTTCCAAAGTGAACAAAAATTCGAAACAACTGTTGTTTAAATCTGTCAAACAAGCAAATGATGTCACCTTTTATTCAGGCTACAATAACAATGTTAAAATAGTGATTTGTGAATAAAATCTTAAATGGTGTGAACAATAATTTTTACTTGTCAATAAAAATAGTGCTGTAATAAAGGTTTGTAGAGATTTATCCAATGTAAACCAATTAATTCATTCGTACATCTCAAATTTGTTCGAATATTTTTTAATCAAATCAATGAGTATTAGGCAAGCCGGAAATCATTCGTTCATTAATGAGCAATAGACAAGCAAGAAACCATTCGTTCATTAATGAGCAAAAGGCAAGCCGGAAACCATTCGTTAATGAGCAAAAGGCAAGCCGGAAACCATTCGTTCATAAATGAGAACAAGGCAAGCCGGAAATCATTCATCCCTTAATGAGCAAAAGGCAAGCCGGAAGCCATTTATTCATTAATGAGCAAAATGCAAGCCGGAAACCATTTGTTCATTAATGAGCAAAAGGCAAGCCGGAAACAATTCGTTCGTTAATGAGTAACAGGCAAGCCGGAAACCATTCGTTTGTTAATGAGCATTTGGCATGCCAGACATTTTCTTTTCAGTGAAAAAACTTCTCAGTACGAGCACCTGTCCTATACCAATTATAAGCACCGCAATTGACTCTCCGATTGACCAGTACATCACACGCTTGTTGAGTTCCTCCGCAAATATGCGACCCTGTGCCTCACGTAACTTGAAGTGTGTTTGATCGTCAAGAATGTCACTAAGGCTCTCGTACATTGTGTGTCCCGCCGTCTCCATCTGTACAAAATATGAGAAATAATTATATCATTATAAATGTTCAATTAATTTCATTTTATACTTATTTGTATTGTTGTCTATACCAGAAAATCCGTATTAAAATTCATTAATATGTATTATTATACAAGACCTAGTGTGTATCAATTCATAGAATTACTTCAGTCACTGGAAAAGTCTGTATTAGTATTTATTTTAAAAATAGTAAAAGAAAAGATATGTTTATAAGCTTGGTTTAAAACGTTTTTCATAAGTATTGTAAACGTTCAGTTAACGCTAGTGATGTTTATAATAAAATTATATTATTTTGATATAGATTTTTTTTAAATGCTGTGTAATTATTTTTCTGCAGCAATATATGTTCATTCTTCAATATACTTTAAATGTTTGAATTATATCATGTGCTTTGCTATTTATTGTCTTTGATATGTATAGTGTAACAAGAAACTGTTTGTAAAAAGTTCCAAATATTCTTTTTGTTCAGTTCATGTATTTTTTAAAATAAACTTGCACATATTCATCCACCAACTACACAGTATACCTTCTAAAATACTTACATTGTTACCAGGCCCGCTATGTAATAAATCATATTTGCCCTGTGCCAGTCTTATTTATAAAAAAACAACAACAAAAAACAACACTAACATTTGTAAGATACCAAGTTCCCTGTTTATTCAATAAACTTATGAAAAGTTCATTAAAAATTATTGACATCATACTAAATTTATTAACATTATGCTCTTAAATAAAGGCTTCTCTTCGCAGACTTGAAATATATATAATTTAACCTTATAAATATACTAGGCCTAAATTGTGTTAATTGAAAACATGCAGCAAGAATAATAAACAAAGACTCTGATGATTTATTTTGAGAATAAATCTGGAAAGACTTAATTCTAAGATTTTTTATATAAACATAGTCCATTTGCAATCCTCCTCCTAATGAAATTCCGAGGATGTTGTCTCAGATTCCAAGAATGATTTTTAGGAAGGTCAGTGGTTGTGCCAAAGTAGGCGTCTGAAACAATACACAAAAAGTAGCACAGATGTGTCAGTTTTGTTTGTGCGAGAACACCGTAAGTATAGCTTTGTTTCTTCAGACATATTTATAACCCTCAACAACCTGAAACTGAAAGTTATTAGGCTCTGTAACATGAAGACAATCATCTGTACAGGCTGGCTGACCATGCTATTGGCGGACCCTCAATGTATATTGTTTAAATTTTGTTTCATTCGTTTGCTTTTCCGGCACACCAAGACAATTTAGGTCATATGGCGCCGAAACAGGGCTAACCTCGGTGTTACAAACTTAAAGCAACACCAGGGGTCAAAACCACCTCAACCATTGTAGCTTAAAGATGCATAAAATCCAGTATTTCGTCACAATTTTTTAAAAACCCTACAAATTGTAATGACATGTTTAAATTTTAAGCTGAGCTAAGGTTAAATCCCGGTTTTGCAGACCAGATTTATAATACATTTGAATTGGTCTTTAATATGTGTCTTTTTTTAGCGAAATTTATAGATTTTGCAGTCATCAAAGCCTCATAACTCGGTGATAATGCAGTAATCCTGCAGAATAAGTGTAAGTTAGACCCGTTCAGTTTTGCATTTTATATAAAACTAAAGCTAAACAATAACATGTACTCGATTAAAAATTGGTTTTATAGGGTAGACACCAATGCTGCAAAGAATGCCATGGAGAACACTTCGAAACAACACTATCCTGGCAATAGGACAAACTATTCCCAGTTCTTTGCTTAGTAGCAAACAAAAACCTTTGTAATGTAGAACTTAACTAAGACGAGTATTTTTGAGTATCTTGTATATACGACTCTTGGTCATTGTCCCAAAGACATGCAAGAAACCACTTATGTGTTGGTCACATATGCAGTTTAGAAGCAATACATTAACCACAAGCCATCAATCTGAGTAGAACCACCGACGTTCCGTAAGTTAGCTTTAAGTCTCTTCACATGGAAGAATAAATAGTCACTGGCTGGTTTCTGCAGCGGACCTGCACAGCTGTAAGGAGCAAATGGTTCAAGCCATTTGTTGGGTATATGACTAAAGAAAAATAAGTAGTCTTTGCTGATTTTTTTTTTACTTTACTCTGATATCAGATATGTTTTCTGAATTAAATTAAGCAATAGAAATAATTAGACAATATCTGAGACGTATATAATGTGTTTTTTTAGTTATTAATACAATAACATACATGTTTTTGTTTTTAGTAGATGATTTCAAACTATCACAATGCTTTCAGTATGATAAACAATTTGCTAATGACGGACAAACCACTTCTTAATAGAAAATGTAAGGTTATAGTCGACGTGGTCAAAACTGGCTTACTCTTAAGAATACTGCTTAATATCAAAACTGATAAAAAAAATCTCTTGCACTACACAGGACGTATAAATATTATATAGATAACACATTGGCTAGGATATCATCCGGCGGATAATATTTGCTGTTACTTATTTTATTACCCTGAACAGGGTCTTTCAAATAGAAAGATTCTATATGAAAAACCCTGCCCTGGACAAACACTTCATTGTGACACTGTTTCTAAAGGTTTTTACTTTTCAGATTTTCTATTGTTTTTATTTTTCAGATTTTCTATTGTTTCTATTTTTCAGATTTTCAATTGTTTTTATTTTTTCAGATTTTTACTGTAAAAAAGCACTGTTACCTATTTTTAGTCACATGCTACACTTGAATTAACATTAAGAATAAATCCCATTGGCCTATGGGAAATTAACATGACAAAAATAAGGAGGGATAATATTCTGAATTAAGTTCAAACAAAGTGATAGTTTTGCATCATCTATTACACAATACACACTATGTCCAAAATGTACATATATGTATATAAACAAAAAACACATCACATATAATTATAATGAAATGGATTCAAACTTCACACATTCAAAACACAAAACATAAAATTAGTTAAATATATTTACAGTGTCATACAAGTGTACAATACTTAATTTAGCACATTCAAACATTAATTTAATTATTTTGAACATATTATAGAAATCAGCTTCAATGTTCCACATTAAAATCATTTAAGCTGCATCATGACAAAACCAACATAATGGGTTTGAGATGAGCATGGATCCAGACCAGCCTGCGCATCCGCGCAGTCTGATCAGGATCCAAACTGTTCACTATCATTTTCTCTATTTGTTATAGGGTTTGTAAGCGAACAGCATGGATCCTGATCAGGCTGTGCGGATGCGCAGGCTGGTTTGGATCCATGCTGGCCGCAAACACATTACGTTGGTTTTGTCATGGCGCGGCTCATTTTCTTTCTGTCACACCCTGGATAGGGCAAACATGTTATAATAATGAATTTTTGATAATTTTCTCCTGAAGGAAATAGCGCTGGATATGAAAACTATAATATTTGTGACAATTGTAGCAAAAATGTGAATAGTATTTTGACTAATCCATACTTCACTGTATTAGCCTAATTACAAAATGCAAGCAAAATTTAATTCAGCTACGTTACAGCAATGTATACGGTACCTCTGTAACAAATTAAGAGGACCCCATCCTAAACACAACTTTGTGGCAGAGATTTTGTGGGTCAATATTCAGTATAATTTAAATGAAGTATATGTAGTATGAAAAGAAAACAATATAAACAGCTGATTTTTGTGAATTGTCAAATTATTTAATACATTTTTGTACATATGAAGCAAAATATTGTTAAAGCGCCAATACATAAAATATTTTTATCAGTTTTCATGAAAATGATAGAATTATGGCAGATATTTATCATATCTTAAAAGCAAATGATATAATATTGGGAATAACCCTCACAATGGTGGTCGGGGGAGGTATTATAATTGCTGTGTGAAAATCATCAATGAAAGTCCAAAATAATGTCTGGTGTAAGTTTACATATTGATATTAGTCTTTCAAATATACATTGTATCCCTTTATCAAATATATAAATATGGTATTATGATATATAAAGAACAAACATACACTATTTGTATGGAATGATAAATCCATAAATACTGGAATATCAAATTATTTGCTGAAAAAAAAATGCTGACCAATCAATTATACATTAATTAGAACTATTTGAAATACTAAAGTTTCCAAAATCAATAAATTGACCTTATTCTTCAGTCTCAATCAATCACATGTTAGTGGGCTAAATGGTTATGCCCTGTAAAGTCTGGATTGATTGGAGTGAACTATATCTAATAATACCCATTAAGAAGTGTTAGATGATTTTCTCTGTTTACAATGAAGAAAATTAAGCAATTAAGCATTATTAAAAGTCTTACAATTCATAGTACTTTATTATTAAAATTTTTACTCATTAAAGAAAATTCAACTTTTCATAAAACTTGTCTGAAGATTTGCTGCCTTAACTCTTAACCCATTACCCCATGAGCATTTTGTGAAAAATGGCTGTTTTCATTGAAAAGTCTCCCGTTACAAGTTCAAGTTGCTATAAAACTATAAAAACTGCTTCAATACTAATCAAACTTGGCACAAATGTTGACTGGACCATTGCCTTTGTAACAACATGCTCAGTCTGAAATTTCCTGTTACCATGGCAACGAGGGGACATCTCAAAAATTGCCAAAAATCACTATTTTGCGTTGATTTTTTCCATCTAAATTGATTTCAAAGTGCTGCTACTTACACGGTACCTTATGATCGACCTGGGGCCATTTTTAGCCTCCCACAAGTCCAAAATGTTCTTGGCGATCAGGGGGACTCCGCCCCCCTTCAAACCCCCCAAACAGAAGGGGGCACATCCCCCTTCTGGCAACCCCCTGATGTATCTTTTGGATGGGGGGCCGCGCCGAAAAAGTGGTCAATTTTTTAAACAACATTTCTTAAACAAAAACAAGTGTCTGGGGGCCTAAATAAGGCATTTTTTCACCATTTGAGAAAGCAAAAGGGGGGGGGGGTGAAAAGGCGTATATATCTGGTAATGGGTTAAGCTCCTTTTCTTCATAGACTTGCCCCAC